GGTCATTGCCGCTCTGGCCATGAACCATGTTCCGTGATGGCGGTGGTGAGGGTTAGCGTCAAGCAGCAGCTCGAGTGAGAGCTCGAGGCACTTCTCTGCTAATGGCATGACGCGGGGTATCCAAGGGTCATCCGCCGGTTGGTGAACCACATAGTACAAGAAAGGCCGATGGATCCATTCGCGGCAGCTCGTGGCTCGGTTTTGGATAAAGTGTACCAGCTCGTTGTTTGATGGCTCTCGATTTTGCCAATGTATCTGAGAGGGTATGTGCAAGCACCTGAGCATGCATTAGCGAACGTTTCGGACCAAACACGAATCCGCGCCGGGCGATATGGAGATTTTTACCAGAGGTTGATGTGCTCGTCAAATTCCTCACTCTTCTCGAGCACTTTGGCTATGTCTCGGGTCCATGCCTGCTCTCCATTGTAACCAAATATTGATATAGCACGATTGATCATCCTTCTCGACGATATCTCAGCCAGGTAATAGAACCAACTCTTTTCCTCCTCTGGCTGAATATCATCTTCCAAGATATCCAACACGCTTGGCTGAGCTGCAGGAGATGCGACTTCAGACGGAGGCGAGGGGAATAAGTCTGGATATCCTAGGCCAGTGATGCCACTTGGTGGCAATGGTATCTCACATCTGAGCTCGCTGAGTGTCGACAGTCAGCTGCCATAGGTTCTCCTTCCATCTTGAGGAGAAGGTTCCTGCTGGACTTACCATTCCGACTTCATGCATGACCAGTAAAGGCGTTGCTCAAGGCGCCGTGTCTTCTGAGAGATACTTTGCCAATTCCGCCTTTGGGCCCTCCGCCAGTATAGGTTCTTGAATTGAACGCTGGCTTGATTGAAGTAGAACCAGCCCTGAAGTGGACGAAGTGAGTACATCTCGAACACTGCACAGAAGAACAGGCATTGAATCTGAAGTAAGGAGGGCTCAAGCAGTCCCAGCCGCTTCTTGGCTGCGAGATAGTAGGCCTGGGCTGTATCTGGATCCGTCGTGGTCGATACTGACGAGCGCATCGATTCGGGCGTACTGTTGAAGTTGATCTCGGATTGAAATGGGCTTGCAAGGCAGGCGAGTGCACATGCAATCAGCTCAATGGGAAGCTTCATCAGCATGGTAACGGTCGTGAGAATCTTGAACAGGCCGAGGACTCACGACTAGACACGACGGTCCGTCCCATCGGGGACCGTTCTCTACTGTATCCTTGACGTACGCTTTGAAGTCGGTCACGTCAAGAACTGGATTCTTCACATGCACGTATGCCAAGAACTTTTTGGACAACGCCGTAAAGTCGTCTTCCTGAACTCCCCGCCCTAGGTTCCGACTTCTGACAGGTTGAGATCGATGTGAAGACTCTGCATCACCATCCTCTAACTCCAAAATAAAAGACTCCGTCTCGGGCGCATATCCCCTAAAGATTGGCCATCGCAGAATGGCCTCGCAATTAGACCTAGCAGCGGCAGAGTCTGGGATGTCGAGGCGGATCATGACTTCGTCCTCGGGTAGACCATCAGAAGGATGACTTAGATTCTCGTCAATAGTGACGCTTGTACTAGTTTGAGGCCCATGGATCGATGTTGGCGATAGTGTTGAGGGAATGGGGGGAGCGCAAACTGCTTGCGCGGCTGGTAGTTCCGGACGAGTCTCAAGAAGAGAAACAACATGATTGAGGCGGTCCAAGATTGCCAAGCTCGCGGGATCGAATCTGTACTCTAAGTAAGACCGAGCCGGTCTGGAGCATTTCCTACAGGCACGAAGAGAGCACTCACGTTGAGAAGTCATTCGAGGTGTCGGGGTATGTACATTGTCCGCCGTTTCGCTGGCAAAAGCCGCATGCTGGCCGGACATTGTCACATTTCGTTTTACGGACCCGACAGGGCCCACACGCCGCAACAGCACGCCGTCTCTGGTACATGCCCGAGGTCCGGCGCCGCTTGTTGGACGTTTCAGGCGCCTCATTGCCTGCATCGGACATTGTGGGATGTTCCACAAGGCCTTCTGTGGGGTTGTAGATATACTGATACGGGTGAGAGATCTACCCAGATACCAAATTCGACAATGATTCGTTTTGGACGTGATTGTTGGCTTGATGGAAATGGGTGACGATTCCCAAATGAGAAGCGCGGGGAGTAGCGGAGTTATGAAGGTGAGGAAAAGCGAAACCGATACCAGGGTCCACCCGACTAAATTAATGGGGATTTTCGTTGCTTTTGGCTAGCTCTCTCGCTGCTTTGAGTTGGGGTTCATTCACTGTGGCGGATGGTCTATAGATCATTTGGTGATACCGAAGGCAGTTTCCGCTTTCCAAGGAGCTTGGCGTCTCATGAGATGAGGTTGTGAATTTTTTTGTTTTATTGATTTTTTGTTGCTTGTTGTGTAGCTTTAGATGGCCATCAAGAACTAGAAATACCATAGGAGAGGGTTATCAGTCTCGAGTATTATTCCGGTTGAATAACTAAACATCCTGTATTCTAGTCTCTGTGATTGTGCACCAAGTTCCAGTCCCTTTAACAGAATTTGACTCTAATTTCGGGACCTCGTATTTATTGGTTTGCGTTACTTTCAAGACATTCTCAACTTTCCTCATTAACCTAGGCAGGATATGTAAAAACCAAAAGCTATTTTGGTGGGCAGGTCTCTTGAGGCCTCCCCGGGGGTATCGGTTGGATCTCCGCGTGCTCAACGGTAACGGCTGTGACGATGTCCATCTGAATATACGGACCTTCCACAATGACTGGTAATGTATGATCGTGCACTTCAACCGCGCTCACTCTAGGCGTCTCGTGCATGTTGGCGTACGATCTTCCCCAGCCTCTCTGCCCGCCGTGTTTCCACCACCACCATTCCTTGCGACCGCCGCTGGGAACAATACTTGGCTCAGGCACTCTTCTACTAACAGGACCACTGATGATTACAGTGTGTCCATAATCTCGTATTGGTGTTCTGACAAAGGCGAACTGGTCCAAGCCCGTATTATGTGCGTCTTGTGGCTCGCTAAACACAATGGTTGTTATCCATAGTATTGAGTTGAAGAGCCCGTTTGCGGCCAAGATGGACCCCGCGAAAGCAAAGTATAATATTCCAAGGTCAATGCCCAGTAGAGAAGTAATGCGGCCGATGATTAAAGGCGTGCTGCAAGCGACGTATACGAAAGGGTACGCAAGAAAGGCTGGGTGGTAGCCTGAGGGCCGTCGAACTTCCGGGCTATGACCGGGTTCGAACCCTGATTCGGAAGCTTCGCTTTGTGACGCTCTCTTTTCCGGCAGGTGACGACAACTTCGTTTTTGACGCCATAGAGTAAAGAAGACGAAGGAATAGAGGCTCAGTGTGAGGGCGATGGAGACGATGACCCAGAAATAATGAGCCCAAAACCGCCACGATTCATACGATGTAGAAATCCAACACCTGTACCGATGTTGAATTAGTGTGAGAACTCTTGGGAGCCGTAGCTGCTATGATCAAAGCAAGGGAGTGCTAGATCTTATTTACCAGACATTGGCCCTCATGAAGAAAGACTCCTGAGGAACTGCTGGGTGGATCTCCGAAAATATTACGCCTGCTCCGTTGATACTAAAGTCGAATATCCAGAGGAACCCTATCGAAGTATAGATGGTCCACGGTGGTGGCTTATAACCCAAGCCTACTGTCAAAAAGGTGTTAATCGAAATAACCGCCAGAAATAGGCTTGCTGCCAAGTTACTGGTCGACCCCAGCCAGCCCTGAGCCCAGCAGACTGATGAAGGTGCAAAGATGCCGTCAGCTGAGACCCAGGATATACTGAGTGCGTAGGCAACAGCCTCCATCATATCTGCTAGCAGAAGGTTATAAATGAGAATGGGGAAAGGATTACGAGCTTCCTCGACCTCTTGCTCTTCTCGATTCCCGGGAGCACTAGCAGCCTCTACCGCTTGCTCCTGTGACGTTGCTAGTCTATCGAGCTCCTCAATCCGGGCAAATCCGCTACTGCCCGGGCAAGGAGCATCTAGCCCTAGAGAGAGGTCCGGTAGATCGGTAACATCGGCATCTTGTGGTCGTGTACTTCGTTGCCTGGGGGCCGGGCGAGTTTTCCGGTATGCCAGTAACTTGTATGTGATGAAGAGCCAGAGTCCCGTTGTGGCTATGGCTGAGAGGAACGAGAAGATAGTGAGTACGATAAGTCCACGGCGGTGATAGTCTGGAAGTGGTGCCAGCGTCCCCCGTTGTGCCGCGGCTGACATGACAGTCTTGCTTCTCCGAAGAAGAAGGCCGTCGGTCAGGCTGTATCCCCTGGGCAGAAGCTACGTGCACCCGCCACGTGGGACACATGAACATATATGTTCCTGTTTAGCTGGGCCTGACCTTCCCCTCAAATCCTCTCCGAAGTCAAAAGGAACACTTGACTCGTGCGTTACATTGATGCTCAAAGGCCCGTGGTCGAGAATGTCGAATTCGAGGGCTTCGCAGTCCATGGAGGAGGTTAAAGCCGAAACTCTGTTCGACAAACGCCAATAAGGGTGGTCTGTGCTGTGCGAGCCTACCCAACTTACGTCGTTACAAACTCTAAGCCCCGTGGCATATCCCTGGGGTGTTGTTTCACAGAACCTGATCTCGCGCTATGTAGTGCGAATCATAACCCAAATACAGGTTCTTCGCCAATGACGGAAGACAAAAACAGGCTGGAAGGCAGAAAATTGGACCACTTGTAGATCTGTTCTGTGGTGCATCTCGAAGTCGATAAATAAGTCGCATGGACCACATCCGCGGAGATACGCGCCGCTCGGTAGACATGGGTTCCCGAGTGTTGGTATGCGTGGTGCCTGAACCTGACGTCCTCGTGGCATGATAAGCATCATTCTTGATACACAAGATGGAATTGCTTGACTAGTGAATTTTCGATATGTGATCCGGGTGATCCGGTATTCCCAGTAGCAGCATTACTCTAGTGAAGAATGGAGAAACAGATGTGCGTTCATGAGTCTCATACTGTCCGCTGATGTGCCTTTCTAGCCTGCTCATGCCAACACGATCCCCTGACATTGAAGACCCTTCATATTCTTTTTGATAGCCCGGAATCCAAACCATGTCATCGTAATACCAGTGAGAAAGATTGCAGACGAAGTCAAGGCCACCCATATCACGCTTTGCACGTAGCCCTTTGTCCAACCTCTTCTCGCTGCGCTCTGTAAATCATCGACGTTCAACATGTCGACTCCCTCTCTTGTCAACACTTCCCAGACGTAATCGCGGTAAGAGATTGGCCAGCTTGGCAGGTCCCAATACCGAGATTTGAGGCCCGACCACTTTGCAGTACTGATCTGCTTCCGTAGCTTTGCAAGTTGCTCAGTACTGAAGCCGGTGCGGACTGATCCGATACTTTGTTGAAATGATACGGATGTGTAATAGGTGTCTTCCTCATGCCACAGCTGAGAGGTAAAGTAGCCATACTCATTATACTGGCGCCAATTATCCTTGGGAAGTTGGTCCAACGGCGCGTCGAGGAATGTGTCGTGATACTGATGATAGAGCTCATTCGATGGCCAGTGGTTTATCATGCGGTCTTCCATAAGATTGCCCGTACCCACGACGGTGACAGGACCCGGCCATATATCTTGCCTGAGTCTGAAGCCCGGCTCGGTATGTATTACCTCGTAGCGTGTCAGGAAGAGCTTTTCCCGCAGGGATCCAAGCTGCTCCATTACCACTGGCCACGTCTTATACGGATCACTCTTGACGTCCAGCAGCAAGACTATCGTGATGTTCGGTTGACTTCGGAAAGCACCCTGCGGCCGATCTGTTCGGCTGAAGTTCGACCACTGCTCTGGAGGATTCATGGTATCGAGAATCTTCATTAAAGGATCAAGGTACATGGACCGCAAAGTTTTCTTGGAGGACAGTTCATGTCTGTCATGGCCAACAAGCAACTCGGAACCATCGTCGCTCAGCCAGATGTCCGCTTCCACGCCGGTACAGCCTGCTGCGAGGGCCGAGTAAAGGGGGTACGGCCTCCAGTAATCATTGTGAGAATGACACATGATTGGGATGACTGAGCGAGAAAAGTCCTCCAGCCATCTTGAGAGACCATCAACTGGCTGGCCATTCGTTGTGATCGGGTTGTTGGAGATGAAGTTTTGGGAAGCCGCGTCACTCAAAGCTTGAGGCTGTAGAACAAATACGAAGACATACAACAAAGTGCTGCAGAAGAATGAGTTCCCTCCACGTCGGGTTGAAAGATGATGAGTTAGCAAAGAGAACCTACATGAGAATAGAACATGCGATAGTTGCTGCCACTCCCAAGAATAGAAGCTCTCGGAGGAGTGATGGCTTTCGCCGCCGGAGTCGATGTGCAGACCTGATGCACTTTTGCAGAACAGACTTCAAGCGATCTACCTCAATCAATTTCGTTGGCTCAGTTTGTGATGATCGCGAGCTGTCCATGGGGGGTCTCATCGTTGTGTTGTTACTACTGCCTGGCGAATGATCTTCCGCCGAATGCTCTGTCACTTGTTCTCTGGGAACCGAAACTTTGAACCGGTCCATAGCTCTGGCCAATTCACAGAAATGTCGTAGATGAATGTGTTACAATGCAGAATTGATTCGGCTAACCAAGGGGTTTCCAGTGCCTTTATCTTTGGAATTTTGTTTGCCTTGGTCTAGGTAACACCAAAAGCTTAGCCACACAGTGGTTCCAAACCTCCAGCCTCAATACGCCCCGGTTATTAATTAAAATTGGGAGAAGCAAACGGAAGTAATGTTGAAGCAAACGGCGATTTGAAACCCCGCGTTGTTGCCTTGTTTGCTCACTGCGCACAGTCGTTTTCGTCATCAGAGTCAACCTGGTGCATCGCCCGAGCTCTTCGTTGGACCCAAGCTTCACAGCCGATCTCTTCGTACTTTGGCTTCTCCCCTTCCTTGACGCAGGTGTCGATCACGCCGCAGCTTTCATGCAGGCCGAAGCCAAAGAAGAAGGGCATACTGATTCGCTCTTGTCCACTCAAGTTCTGGGCTCGATGTACTGTGCTGACGTAGAGATCATTTGTGATGCGCTGCAGGTAGTCGGCAATGTTGACGACAAACGTCCCAGGGATAGGTGCGGCCCTGATCCATTGCCCCTGGCGGTTTAGTACCTGCAAGCCCCCAACCGAGTCTTGCCATAGAATGGTGAAAAGCTGAAAGTCTGTGTGCGATCCTATGGAAACTGTCTTGTTGAAGTCTGAATCCACGGTGGCCGAGGAACTGAGAGGTGGGTAGTAGTTCAGCGCCAGCGCAGCATCAGGGTACGCGAATTTGGCATCAAAGTGATCCTCAGGTAGATCAAGCGATAGCGCAAAGGAGCGAACCAGGACGCGAGCGAGTTTCAAACAGGATTGCCAATATAGAATGATGGCTTCTTTGAAGTGCGGCTGATTGGCCGTGCCATCCCAGTGGAAGTCCTCAATCCGCAAAAGCTTCCTCGCCTCCGCAGGAATAGCATTGACGTCGACCACATCAGGGTCGTGGCGAGGGTCGTACGTCCAGCTAAATGACTCGCGGACATCGACGCTCTCTGACTTGTTGATTCGCTGAGATCCTGGCGGTTTGTAGCCGTTGAAGTAGCGACTCTTCCCAACCCATGAGCGCATCTTTGTCTCTTCATCCTGGCGGAAGTACTCTAGGCAGGCCGTATGGGCTGAATCAGTGACTGAAGACGCGATGCCATGGTTGATCAGGTAGAAGAAGCCGGATGTCGTGGCAGTGTTGCGAATCTGCTGAGCTACAGTCTTCCGGTCCTTAAGTTCAGGGCTAAATGCGAGCGAGATATCGATGACTGGGATCTCTGTAGGAAGGGCATCGCGGAGCGGAGTCCGAAGGATGCGGCGGGTTACCGGTCCGTTCCCGGAGGCGAAACGCAGGAGGGTCGTCCCCGGATCAGATGCAAGATTTACAACGCCCATTGTGGGCTAATTAATCGTTGAAGACTTGTTGGCACTGGAGAAACGGCTACGTCGAGTCAGGGCAAATCGAGTCCGTCGTTCAAGTCAAGAGATGGTTTAATAAGATCAAGAGGATAATTCGGGCAATTTAACAGCTGAAGTATGCGGGGCGATACAGGCGATAAGGAAATGGTAGACACAGAGGCGGGGGAACTGGGCTTTGTGTCATTGGCTTGAGATGATGTTGCTGGTGATTATCGTCGGAGGTGGCCGACAAGCTCCAGTTCCAAACCCTTTAACCTTAATGGGAGCACGTGGCAGCCCGATGTTATTGTGAATAGGTCGGTTATTCATATGTCTACCTAAGTAGCGAAATTCGCCATGAGCTCGAAGCATGCCGGCCCGAGTTCGGCCACGTTCATGTTAGTTTGCGTTGCTTCCTCAAGTCGAGATGGTTGATTGATCATCTTATTCATTCGGTCAACATGCCTCACATCATGGTTTGGGGAAATAGTATGAGGTCCTTCTCGACTCCTTCTAACAGACCTGTGGACAAGCTTGTTTCTGACGTGGAGAATGGAGAGCGTTCGATGGTTCATCTTACTCAGTATCATTCTCCAGGTCTACCTACGCCTCAGCAGCCCATGTAAACAGCTAGTTAAGGACCAATGATTAGTCCTCATCGTTTCGTATCACAAGCAAGAAAAGGGACGTAAGGGAGCAAACCATTGGCGTAAAGGGAATAATTATCAGCATTCTGCAGAGCCCGTTCCGGGGGTAATGCGACGCTGGCGTTGTAAGCGTAAGCGTAGTCATCTGTGTGAGGAGCATAAACTGCCTCGCAGTGCGTGGTTTCGTGGATCGTAGTCGTAGCTTGACACTGTCGGTGGCATCCTACAGGGAGTGGCGGCAGGCCAAAGAAGAGCGGGCACATAACCATTGTGTTGACGTCCCAGGCAGTGTAAGCATTGAGAGGGCCGTCGAGCTCGCAAACGCCGTAGTAATCGTAACAGAAGTACCGAGACACTCCTGAAGTAGTTGAGCTACACTCCTGCGCGACGTTACGAAGCCGAGTGACGACAATGTTGCGGGTTTCTGATGAGTTGGTGCCGAAATACTCGACAAACCGCTGAGAGGCCGGGTTAGCTGCATCCGCTGCGGCAGCGAGGGCGAGGGCCTGACAGTTGGCCAGGGCTTTGGTGCTGGCGTCCAATGTTGTCGCATTGCATCCTGGCTGTAAGTTGGTGCGCTCTTTGAGCGCCGCAGTTACCAATGACTTTGCGGCAACGTCTGCGTCAACGTCAACTTGGATGGTGTTCGACTTGAAAGCCACGGCAGGCTGAGAGAAGTCTGTAGACGGCACTAGAGCAATCGGGATTATGCCTTCAGCGGTGATAGAGTAGGTGCCAGATTGCGTAAACTGATGAACCTTTGCTGCGTCGATGGAGACCGTCACTGAACCCCCAGCTGGAAGCGACTCAAAATGAATTGCCTTCAGCGCATCGTACTGAATGCTCGGCTCAATGCCCCTAAAAGAGACTGCGTTCCCTGCTGGCGCGTGAGCTACGGGCATTTCGTCGCCGTGGCGCTACTGACCTGACTCGTCAACGATGGACACACGCTGGACAGGAAGCTTGTCGTCCAAGATGGTGCCGACCTTGAGCAGATTGAGATCTAAGCTGCCGGCGTTCTTGATGGTGGCGGAAACCTCGGCGCCAGAGTCGGATACCACAGGTGTGAGGGTTACCTCCAGTGTTGAGTCCCGCTTGGAGTAACGGATACCGTGAGCGTTGAGATGACCGCTGGCGATGGCCGCCAAAGGCGCGAGTGCAAGGACCTTTCGCCACAACATCTCAAGAACTGCAGCGGCTCAAGTTAAAAACGAGGTTAACAGGGAATCGCCACCGCATGTGGTGCTGTGGTCTTTTTAAGCTGTCATTTGATATGAGATAGCTCAGAGCTCAAGAGCCCAAGGGCCCAAAAGCATATGCATCTCTGCAAATCCCCTTAATCAATCTTGGCTAGAAGCCCGTATTGATATGTATTGCCGGGATAGACAAGATATAAATGCTCTGACTTGGCAGCCAAAACTCGTATTCGACCAGGATTGAAATGTCGAAAATGGCAGGAGGTTTTGCCGGCATTCTCAAGGTAACATCGGCCCTTGAGGTGGGCCATGGCAGAACAGAACACGAAGCTTCACGTTCCCATGACAGAGCGTGCGCAGAGAACTTGACATCCCCAGACTCAAAGTGACATGAATCATCAGACTTGATATTCTGGGCTGTGTGCCGAGTCCCGTTCCAATTGGCCCGACGGAGCAAAGTGTGAGGCTGTACGGAGACGGCGGCGAGGATCAAAAGCCGGTCGATGGGTTCCTTTTACTCGTATTCACGACTGTGTCAACGCAAGTATGTTGAACACTCAACCCTCTTCTCAAAAGCCTAGTATACTCTGAGCTGGATTAGTATAGAGCCGAAATGACCGACTTAATGAGCCTCTACGCCTATACTTGCAGATGACCAGGTGAACGAATGCCCGTCAACTCGCAACGTCACTCTCCCCACCGAAGTGGTTACAAAAGCAGCGGCCTCTTTACAGCGCTCTTTGTGCATGAGCCCCGAGGTGAACCGGCCGGAACGCGGAGATAAACCTACCCAACAGCCTGTGTCAGCCGGGGAGTGTCGGCCAACTTGTTCGTCCCATTCTCCACTTCCCCCACTGCATCAACATCGTGACAATTAGTGGAGTCGAGATTGTGGCTTCTTCAGTGTTTCTTAGTGCAGGATTGGTAGAATGGCTTGCTCACTGGTTTTCACATCCCTAGGGCGGATGGTAACGCATCTGATTCTTCATGGCTGGTGCGGCCCGCGATTCCGCATCATTGCCATGAGTGATTTATCAGCCTCCAGATCTCATAAATACATCGACTGACCCCTTGACTGCTGTTCTCTCCTGTGCTCCATGCAAGCCTTACCAGCAACTTTCACTCTTGAACACACTATCTCCGACTCCAGAATGTCTGCCGAGATCCCGACCCTTCGCTGGGGCATCATCGCCACCGGCCTGATCTCCTCATGGTTCGTCGAGGATCTGGTACTTGAACGCTCGAACGCGAGGGCCAAGCACATTGTTCAGTCCATCGGATCATCATCACTTGAGAAGGGCAAGGCCTTTGTCGAGAAGCATCTCCCAGGGAAAACACCCACAGTTTATGGTAGCTATGCTGAGGTCTACAACGATCCTAACGTCAACGTCATCTATATCGGCACACCACACGCATTCCATAAGCAAAACTGCCTCGACGCCATCAACGCGGGCAAACATGTACTATGCGAAAAGGCCTTCACCATCACAGCCAAGGAGGCGCGGGAGGTGTTTGAGGCCGCGAAGAAGAAGGGTGTTTTCGTCATGGAGGCAATGTGGACGCGTTTCTTCCCCCTCACAAGATCTCTTCTGAACGTCTTGCACTCGGAAAAGCTGATTGGCGATATTCACCGGGTCTTCTGCGACTTTGCCATGAACATGAACCTCGCATCTCTGGGCCCGGACTCGCGCCTGAAGAATCCGGCGCTAGGTGCAGGAAGCCTTCTCGACATTGGCGTATACAGTTTGACCTTTACGATTCTGGGACTGGACCCCGGCGTTGGAGATAAAGCTGAAAAGCCCAAGATCTCGGCGACACAAACCCTCTCAGACGATATCGATATTGCAACATCGGCTCTTCTTCTCTACCCCAGTGGCAAGCAAGGTATCCTGACAGCTTCGACGCAGGTCAAGACACCACCAGGATTCTGCAGGATTGAGGGAAGCAACGGATACGTCATTATCGAGGGCATCGCGACTTCAGTTCCCGGCTCTTTCACAGTGTACTCTTCCAAGGCTTCTGGCGAGGGATGGGCCGACTCTGCGACGGAGGGTTTGAAGTCAAAGAAGTTTGACTTCGAGCGACCAGGTAAAGGCTTCTACTGGGAAGCGGACGCGGTGGCGCTGGATATTGCTGCTGGGCGCACAGAAAGCGAGATCATGCCCTGGGCAGAAACTGTCCGTGTCATGGAGATTTTGGATGAGATTAGGAGACAGGGCGGCGCCAAGTTCCCTCAAGATGATCAGTAAAGGGCTTCGAGTGAAATGAAAGTAGTGGATATCACAAGAACCATCTTTGAAATGCACAAAGTCTTCCAAGTTTGTCATCATTACGCAAGTACCAGTAAGAGCTTTGACGACGAACCTCAATAATAACTCCGGGATTCGTCTCTCGTCTACATCCTTTCTCTGAAGTTAGTCCAAGAACCTACTACCACGGACCGGCCTGCATAGACTAATAAGCCTCCGGCAAATACGACAGCAAGATAAAGTCCCGATAAGGCAGTCGGCCCAAGAGACTGCAGCATTTGACCGCCGATTGGCACTGTTAAGAGAAGCGAGAAGCTTATGACAAAGTTCATTGTCCCTAGGCTGGTCAGCAAACCAAGAGCTGTGGTAAAACTTGGTAGTAACGTACCATAGTATCTTCCATAGTCTTTCAGCTCACAAGTCTTCGCCACACAGGCTAGCACCCCACAAGGTCAGTTAGCGATAGGATACAGCAACGTAGGCAACAAGTTATCAACTCGAAGTGGATCAACTTACCAGGCGCAAGTGACAAGAATGATCCGGTGCCAAACCCCCATAAAGCCGAGAAAGCATACAAGGCTTCGATTCGAGTCGACCCAAACGCAGTAAGCGTTGCAGCGGTGCAGATGATCGTGAAAACAATCATGACCAGGAGGATGTTGTAATGTCCCAGGCGATCACCTACCAAGCCAGGAAGAATACGCCCAAGAGACGAAACGCCGTTCAGGATAGCTAGCATGTTGAATCCATGCTCTATAGGAAGTCCCGATAAAGCCACCAAGGTTGGAAGAATTGCAGTTGCACCAAAGATGACGAACTCGAGAAGCGCTATGGCGCCGCAGATGAGCGAGAAAGGTAATGAATGGAAGGCAGAAAAGCCCATAACAGCCCTTTTCCTACTCCTTTGGGTAGACACTCTATCGGAAGCTATCATAGCATGCAACCTCTCGAAAGGAAGGAGGCAGGCAATGCCTGAGCTCAGTATAAGGACAGTCAGGAATCCCACTGCTCTCATAGACCATGCCCACCCCCATAGAGGGAATATCTGCCTTAGAACCAATGGGAAAATCATCCCACCGGTAGAAGAGCCAGACAGAGCGATACCGAGTGCTAGCCCCTTACGACGATTGAAGAGTTTCCCAATTACAGCAATGCCTACAGTTGTAGCAATAGCATTACCAATGCCTCCCAGAACACCTAGGCAGAGGATGAACTGCCAAATCTTTGCGCATTCGGCGAGGACAAAGAACATCAGAACGAGTAGTCCTGTCGCGAGTGGTCCAAGAAATTTTGGGCCGTAAACGTCGATCAGCGGTCCTGCCTGGATACCGAGAAGCATCGTGAGAAAGCTGTAGACTCCTGTAATCCAGCCAACATCACGGGCAGAATAATCTATCAGTTGGTTCTCTAAGAGAAATGACTGGACTGCTCCGGAAGATTGCATGAACCCTATGAAATTAGGCATTAGTGCCAGGTCTTTCCCGTTTTTAATGGATATGGATGGTGTTCCGGGATTCGGGAATGCTCACCGAAAGAAGGCATCAGAAATAGGAATGACCCGAGCACACAGACCCACGCCGACTTCCGACATTCGACGTCCACAGCATGGTGCCGGTGCGGTTCTTGTTGGGTCACATGGCTGTTTAGGGATGGTTGCCCCGAGAACTCTGGCTTCGTGGAGAGGAATTCGTGTGCTTGCGCTGAGGATGGCATGGTGAGGAAAATGTTCACGGCATCATGATATTCCATCAGACTAATACCATCTACCTTTATGTCAGTAAATAATGTGCTCTTGGCGCTGAAGAAGTCTGTCCCGGGTTTCTTGACCTCATCCGAGAAGGCTTTGCAACAGCGGAGTTGGCGGAGTTGGAGTGCATACTAAGCTGGCTCTAGATCAACATGGGCTGGCACCTTTGCCTCATTCGGCATTACCTCCAGCGTTTCCTTAAGAGGCCATGTCTAATGCGTGAGTCCTTAACCCCCACCTGATCAGTCAAAACCTCAGTCCTTCGGAATGGTTTGGAATGATTTACGCACTAATGTTCTTAGGCGTCGTCTGCTTAAACCGCTGGTTTCTCAGTCTTCGTAGCTTGCCCGTGGGTTTGCTGGCACCAACCATGCAACCAAGCCTTGAGTTGCGGACGACAAATACGCCAACATCTTCGGCTGAGACTTTTTCCCCCAATGCTTAACAGAGCAAACTTGAGCAAGCCGACTGCATACTAATGGCATTTGATCGTGGCTGTATCACATTCCTCTATTCAAATAGTTCCTGGTTTGACTTGTACGAAATTCGTGCATCCTTGAGATGATGAGAGGTAGACCTCTTAGCAGGCCATCGCTCTATGCTAGCTCAACCTGCTTAGGCTTGCCATCCTTCTTGGTCTCTTCATCCTCACCGCCCTCGATATCTTCGACTTTGGCATTTGCGGGCTTGCCCTCGAAGACTTCGCGGATCTCCTCCAGTGTGTGACCCTTTGTCTCGGGGAAAAGGAACCAAATCACAATGAACAAGACTCCCAGGACACAGCAAAACACTATATAGTACTTCCATGCGATCGCCTTCATTGCAATCGGGTTGACCTGATTGCCGATGATCAGACCAGTGAAGGCAGTAATGTAGGTGACCGACAAGCCGCGACCACGAAGGGTGTAAGGGAAAATCTCGACAGGGTAGGCTTGTAAGAGCGGCGTCCAAGCAATGTCGTAGAAGAAGTAAAAGATGAAGATGAAGGCTACAACTGCTCTCCCAGTTCCTTCGTCACGGCTGGCGACAAAGTGAGACGTCAACCCGGTCCATGCGATGTAACTCGCGAGCATACCTGCCGTGGAGATCAGGAACAAGGGTCGTCGACCCAAGCGGTCTACCATGAGCGCTCCTAGGAAGGTCGAAATGATCCAGTTGAAGATTTGAAGCATTCCGTTGATCAAAGTCTGGTCCTTGACTTCAGTGATGCCGATAGTGTTAAGCACGAGACTCAAATAGTAGCTGACCACTGCGACTCCGTTCCACTGAGAGCTGAAGCCGACAATACAGGCAATCAGTGTTCGCTTTCGGTTGGCAGGGGTTCGCACGAGTTCGAGCCAAGATGATTGAGACATGGCTTCAGCCTCCTCGCCCAAAGTAAGTTCGACTTCGCGCATCTCAAAGTCAACCAGCGGGTCATTGAGGTTGCCACCAGCGTGACAGTCGGCGAAGACCTTTCTGGCTTCATCTTTACGACCACGGCGCATCAGCCAGCTACAGTAAGCGGTTAGTAAGACTAGAATGTGTACAGTCAAGATACTGGAAAGCCTTACCGAGGGGACTCAGGCAAGAAGTAGACACCCATAAGCTGGATCACAGGAACTGCTCCTTGCAGCAGAGACGGGATTCGCCAGCTCCACGTAGACGCAATCTTGAAGGTTCCGAAGGTGCACCATGCAGCAAAAATGGAGCCAAAGTACTACGCAAAATGATCGTCAGCAAGTTTCCAAGACTATCGGGGCCTTCTCGAAGATCCAACGTACAAAGAATGTGTTGTACAAAGCTGTGATTCGGCCTCGGTGGGTAGGGTAAGCCAATTCCGTGATGAGGATAGGGCTCGGCTGGCTGATGAAAGTTGTGAAGAAACCTAGCAAAGCTCTTGCGACGACAAAGCTTGGAAGGTCCTTGGACATGCCTTGCAAGATGGCAAACCCGATGCAGGCTGCCAAGCCCAGAACGAGAGGGAGCTTCCGACCGTATCTGTCTGAGATGTACGTTACGACGAAGAGTGCTACGACTTTGCCGAGAGGGTAAACAGCATTCATCAGACCAAGAATGGCGCCCTCGGGGTTTCCAAAGAATTGGCGCCATTGAGGTAGGGTTTGTAGGCCGTTCATCATCGATCCTTGTCTCGTTTAGTTTGGCAATCCACAGAGTAGGATCGAGAACCCATACCATCGTAACCGACAGACGCAGAAGAGAACAGAGGTACGAGCAGCAACAGATTCAACTTCAGTAGATGAGGTGTCAAATACCATGGCTTGGGATTCGCGGGTAGAACCTAGTTTTCGCGTGTCAGCAGCTTCTCACCTAAGATAATCAAAGAGAAGGTTATTCACAGCTGCGAGAGCCGACCCTGCGGCCAGCTCTGCTCCCGTCTTCTTCGAAAACAAGCCCATTGTCAAGGTTGATTTTCTGAGCGATCTCTTGACTGTGGAGGTTGTCACCGATGGGTTGTTGGTAAAGCTTTTTCAGGCTCCCGGTTGAAGCGACAAGGATGACTTAAACTCGAAAACACAATGAGATGCCATGCTATTTATCTACCTGAGGAGAGCCATCGACAATGCAACCAACTCCAGATTTTCCAGCCACCGCCCAGGGTCCAGGTCAGACCAGATTCTCGGTAGCTCTGCACGGCTTCATGACCCCGGTCCATCCCCATGGGGTAAACGCGGGACCGGAACTCGGGATGGATGTTCTCAGGAAGTCGGAGGCCAGGGAAGTGTGCGGGGAAGAATGCACCGTCGCGGCGTGCAACATGTCTGGACGCGTCTTCGACCGAACTAGGTGACCTTAGATCTCGCACTAACAATTTTGGCGTTTCTCCGATACTCCGCGGGCAACGGTTCTGTTCCAAGTTGGTCTCGGGGAGTATCGGAGCCTGTTCATCTTCAGATGCCTTGACTTCTCCAATTATGTCGAATCATCATTGGATGAAGCTGCCAAAGCAAAAGTGGTCTCAAATCCATTTTCACGTGTCCAATGATCTTCGGGGCTCAACGATCCAGCTCAAGCTGACGACATTGCTGGAGCTGTACCCACAGGAGCTTGACAAGATTACAAAAGCCATCACGAACGCCTCTCAACATCACAAGAGCAGGCATATCTGGAACAAGATAGTTGGCGATAATCGTCCAGGGCTCGTATCTAGATTCATGTGCATTCTGCATTGAGAGGCCCTCAACGACTTTCCCCATACATCAAGAACGACGCCTAAGAACATGGGCTCCCAGCAGCAAACGCCCATCCTTAGGGTTGGCATCATCGGGTGCGGCGAGATCACTCAGGTAGCCCACATCCCCAACCTCAACTTCCTTTCTCATCGCTACCAAACCACCTACCTCTGCGATATCTCACAACAAGCTCTAGAGCACTGCGCCCGAAAGGTGCAGGGAGGAACGCCCAAGACAACGGCTGATGCAGCAGAACTCTGCTCCTCGCCAGACGTCGATGTGGTAGTCATTGCCAACGCTGATGCGTACCATGTCGAGCATGGCCTCTTGGCGCTCAAGAACGACAAGTACACCCTCATCGAGAAGCCCGCCTCCGTCTGTTTCCGAGACTTAGATCGCCTGGTCGAAGCCGAGAAGAAGTCTAAGGGAAAGGTCATGGTTGGTACCATGCGGCGTTTCGCAACTGCATTTACCGATGCGGTGAAGGAAGTTGGCGGCATGGAGAAGATCCAGTACGCAAGAGTCAGAGACATTATCGGACCCAACTCAACATTTGTCGACCAGTCCGGCACGTTCCCGCTAAAGTTCAGCGACTACAGCGATGCAGACACTAAGGACAGGCTGAAGCGGGAGGCGGACATCTCTGAGCAGGCTCTGGCGAAAGAGTTTGGAGTTCCCGTTACCCCTGGTTCTCAACTGATGCTACGACTTCTAGGAGGGTATGTTAACGTTCAACAAAACTGAAAGAGCATCATTACTAATAAATTCATAGACTCGGAACCCATGATCTTTCAGCCATGAGAGAAATCATCGGTATGCCGAAGAGTGTTGCAGGAGCTTGTCTTACCTTCCCTGGCATCTTCAGCGTCCTCTTCAAGTACGACGACTTCCCTGTCACTTATGAGTCAGGTTTCAGCAAAGTCCCGCAATTTGACGCACACATTGAGGTGTACTCTCCCGAGAAGATTGTTCGCGTTGACTTCGACACACCATACGTCAAGGGTCTACCAGTCACGATGACCATTAGAGAAATGATCGGGAATGATGGCTTCCAAGAGCGCAAAGTCAGGAAGACATACCAGGATCCTTACACCAATGAGTTCCTCGAGTTGTATGACTGCGTTGTCAACGGGAAGGCTCCGAAGACGAGTGCATTAGATGCGAGGAATGACATCGAACTGTTCAAGATGATCCTTCGAGCAGACTCCAGCAGATATCAGTAGGGTCCTGGAGAATAATTAAAGAAGAGCACAATAGCTTTATTACTTCATAAAAAGCCGCCCATGGAATTGATAATATGAGATAACGGAAGTGTGTGTTCGGTCTCGGTCATTCACCGCCTGGCGGCTTTCATATCTGACCAATGATCCAAGCCGAACGATGAAAGGTACAACTTCTATTCCCATCAGCAACTCGGTCGCTGCGGCTATTACGGGCGCACCGCGTCTCAGGCTCTCAACTGCATTGCAAATTACTTAAGCGGGATGGGAGTCATGGAATCACCGCGACCGAATATAACTATGTCTATTACGGGTAACTTCGGAGGGACCGCTGTCAAATTGTCTCGGCTACGGTGACTTATCGCAGGAGAACGAGTGCAGCAACATAACGAAGCCTTATCGGGGCACGGTAAGTGAAAGCCCCAAATAAGTACATTGGTACGAGCAGCTTTTGCAAGCTTAAGTATGGGATAACGGAGCTCACAGCCTCCACGACTCACGACGCCCAACAAGCTTTGTATTCGGATCATGCACTCGTGCAGGGTTCCTGCGGAGATCTCTCGAGGATCCCCGTTCGACGGCGGACCTCTTTGCTCCTACAGGACTGTCGAATAACGAGTAATGTACTAGATGTATCGGGTGAGTTTCAGCTTTGGCGAGGCCACCCTTGGTCGGTCACTTGGGTCAAGTCATCTCAACTTATTCTGGACGAACCAGGTCATGGGGATGGAGTTCGCGATCCACGGTTTGCGGAACTTAGATTTATTAACAATGTATCTCGAACGAAGAAGCTGCGAGATGAACACGAGATTCACTCCGTATAAATAACAGCCTGCTCCAAGCCTTTAAAGGTGACTGGTCACTGTTATATCAATTAGTACATCGAGTAGCAGATCTTCTCCCAGACAAAAGCCGATCTCTTATTTCTGTTCATTTTCTACATCGAAGGAAATCCCATAACTGCTAAGACAAAGATGTTGTTCCATCCTACTCTCGCTGTCGCAGCGCTGCTCCAATTCGCTCTTCCCGCTTCTGCCGCTTTCATCTTCTGCGCTGGCGCTCCTGCCGATGGTAGCTGTCCTGCTGACAAGGGAACCAAGACAAGCGTAAGTCTCTAACTTCTGTCCCGCATCAACCACTCAGCCTCTCTATTAGTTGTAAACTGACTCTGTGTATTTGTCGTAGTGTCAAAATATTTGTGCCAATTGCAAGCCCAACTGCTTTGGAGGTTCAGCGCCAGACTTGGGCGCAACTTGCTGCGAGCAGTCGGACGGGACGATCAACATATTCTGCTTCCGCACGGGAAAGAACAATTGTTAGAAATCCAAATATTCAAACATGAGTCAACTTCAGGATAGAAATGCCACGGGACCCGCGCAATGCTTCACCTTCCGACCTACTTTGGTACATGAACGAACAGATATGGGGACTAGACTAAAAGACAAGTAGAACCAGATCTTACAAATCTCATTATTTCAAACCCTTTACCAAACTTACTTCGGGGCCTGGACCGATACGTGATCCCACCAAAGTTGGACAAACCTGTGCGATGTTTACATGTGAGGTGATCCCGTATATTCCAAATTGGGAGTCTACAAAACTACCTCCTACTATCTCGGAAGCTTGATTTCGTATTCGGTGTTTGGAGTTCATGTTCAATGATGGAGAAGTCTAGCCTCAAGCTAACCACAGAGTAGCTCTGCTTGCTCTCCGCGAACTGACTAGCTGGCTGTCATGAAAGGCGCCGCTGGGCTTCGCCCGCAATGTTGTTATCTCAACCACGTGGAATAGAAACACTACTTGGACAGATCATTCAACCAATCCACTGGGATCCCCAGAAGTGGAATGGCCAAAATATTTGGTAGGATTTTGAGTGCGCAGTTGCAGCCGAGATCCCGATTCTTGAAAGCCTGCCCTGCAGTAGCGTAAATCGCTCATTGTTAGTCAACGAATTCGCTTTTGCTAGCGTGAGGAGAACCTAATGTCCCAGTAAGGCGGCGTTCCCGTCAAAGTCTAAGGAGAGGCGCCGTCTGTCATGAGTTAACTACACGTTAGCAGTTCCACCTGAGTTACACAAGGCCGAGCGGGAACCCAGGCACTCGGGTAATATCGCGCTGTCAGTACCACGCCAGATCGACAAGTCTAGATCTACTTGTTTACTCGGTATGCTGTGCTGGCACATCGATGCTTGATGCGCAATGTCGAGCCGGAGGCGTTCTCTTCGGATCTACTCTAGACGTCATGGTGAGTCTCCAGAGTGGTAGAGTCCACAAATAGTTTTCTCATCGGCCATCACATCATCCATCTCAACCCTTTACTCACCTCAATCTATTCTAGAGTCAATATCGCTTGTGATCCTCAGGGCATTGACAAAAAAGGTAAGCTTTTCGGTCTAGGGATCGTAGACTTTGTGCCAATGACACTACCAGCTTGATGGACGGCGACGGTGGGTGCAATACGAGCGCCGCCGTCAACTAGCAGAATATGGACTAGAGGCTTCTTAGCATCAACGATACCCGACAGGCGAACGTTCAAGCCACACCGAACCATTCCTTTGTCAAAGACAATCCTCACACATCACCCGTTTTTTCGGATCAAACAAAGAGTCTTTGAGTAAAGACTCGCGCTACAGTTTGACGCATGGTTGCTATTTTTGCTCTGGTGTGATGCCCAGAGTCCCAAGAGTCAGGTCTGCAGCGTCAGTGGCCGAATCTCAAAGATTTTCTTCCCGAGTACCGAGAGCGAGGTGCGCCTAATTGTGCAACGACTCCGTTAGCTTCTGGTCACTAGAGTGATAATCAGACGATGAATGAGGCTTTTCCGTAGCTCAAAGAATTGGATGTTGGATAACCGAAGCCTAAGGTTCTATGGCTAGAAGCGATCGTTGCGAGGGGATGTATATAACTCTTGGACAGATTCGACCAACGCAACTATCATTTTCACACTCATCACAGTCATTCATCACAATCATTCCTTCTTCTCCCTTCTTCACAATCATTGACTTTACATACTAACAGCAGCTTCATCTTTCCAACTTCCAAGATGCGCTCATTTACCGTTCTCGCCGCCTTGACGGCAACCAGCTCGGCTCAGCTTCTGTCTCTTTCTGAGCTAGCCAGCATCCCAATCTCGACTGTTCAGACTGTTCCCATTGGCGTTGGCAACCAGACTGTTGCATCAACCAAGAGGGAAGTCAGCAACTTGGCCGTTCGCGGCGACTGCAGCGCTCTTCCCGCTGGCAGTGGCCCGGTCCCCACCACCGACACGGACACGGCTTTCCTCGCCGACGCGGACTTGTCCAATGCCGCTTTGGCGGCCGTCACCCCGGCTGGGTGGTACCAGACCTTCCAGAACCTCCAGTCTGCGACCTCCGCCTCGGCTTACATGGGCTACAAGACCTATGCCACCTACAGCCCTTCGCAGTGCGCAGCTGACTGCAAATCGAACACTGGGTGTACAGCCTTCAACGTCTTCTTCGAGAGAGATCCCAGCCAGGATCCCGGCACCGCGTGCCCCAACCCCTCGAGCACAACTGTCATCAAATGCAGCTTCTGGGGTGTTGGCATCGGCCCTTCCACCGCCACCAACAGTGGCGAATACAGAAACGACTTCCACGTCGTGATTGCTGGCTCAAACGGATACCAGCTTACTGCACCCGACTACGCCGTCACCGGCTACAACTCTACATTCACTGATAAGGCCACCATCAACGCCCCCAGCGACTGCAACAGCTACATCACTTACAGGGCTCACACCAACGCTGCGTACGACCCTTCTCTTTGCGCTGCCGACTGCGCTTCTCAGAGACAAGAGACCAACCCCTTCAACGGTCTCTACTGCCACTTCTTCACCAGCTACTCACTTGTCAAGAATGGTGTCGTCCAAGCTCAGATTTGTGCTCTGTACTCGCGCACCTGGGACAAGAGCTACGCCGTCAACACGGGATACACTTCTGGCTCTGATGTCTACACCATCCAGTATGCTTACTCGTACTCTTACACCTCTGATATGGGCACTTGGACTTGCCCTCAAGGCAATGCCGCGGTCGCCTCTACGACATCGACTACTTTGTCTACTTCTTCCACGTCTCAAATCGCGACCCCTTCCACTCTTTCCACATCTACTACCTCACGGGCCGCCACTTCTTCGACCCTGACTACATCCAGCAGCTCATCTGCTTCCATAATCAAGACTTCCACCTCTTCTTCGACCGCCGCCGCAACAACTAGCAGCACGGCGGTCTCCAGCGGGCCCATCGCCGCCTGTCCCAGCCCAGTGAGCTATGTCGTTGGCTCTGCTGGTGGACTGTACGCTGTCTGCGCAAACACCGACTTCATGATTCCCAGCCCTCAGATCTACTACGGCTACAAGTCCAACGCTGACTGTGCCACTGCCTGCGAGGCTCAATCTGGCTGCACCAAGGCCGTCTACAACCCTACCACCCAGACCTGCTATCTGAAGGGTAGCCCCAGCGTCGCCGCCTCCAACTGGAACATCAACGCGCCCTTCCAGACCCTCGTCAAGGTCACCGATGGCACCGCTCTCACCAAGTGCTTGGCTCCCACTTACACCGTCAACTACTTCGGCACCACCTACCAAGTCTGCCCAAGCAGTGACTTCACCAACAACCCTGCCACGGACATCTGGTACTACGTTCCCAGCGACCTCGCTTGCATTGCTCTGTGCCGCTTGAGATCAGGATGCACCAAGATCGTGTACAACTTTGTTACCAAGACCTGCTACAACAAGGGCAACCCGTCCCTGGCCAGCACCGGATGGCACGTCAACACCCAGTTCCGCGCCATCTACATCAACTAAGTTGATGCGCGCCAGGGTAGCATTGGAGTTTTTGGCTCGATACTTAGACTTTCTTTCACTTTTAGCGTCATAGACTTAGTTTGGGGTTTGGAGAGAAGGCGTAAACAAAAGGTTTTAGGAACTCTCTTTTCTGGTTTTGGCATTCAAGTCACTCTTTTCTTACTCTCTTCAACACTCTCTTTAACAGACCTTTTTGAGACCTGTACATAATTATTTCACATCTCCATGGATCAATCTGCAATTCAACAGTTCAACCAATTTGCGCTTACTCGTTGCTTTCGACCGTGTAGTTCAATATTTACATGAGATTAACAAATGGTGAATTAATAGCCCAGTCCGAATAGTATTTGTTTCATCTGTTCTCTCAACTGCAGACTGGCTGTGTTGAGGGCTTCGATACCGCGTTTGAAGGGTTTGTTTGCCCACATCCATTGAGAGCACCCAGGGCCGTGTCGTCAACAGCAGCGTTATACGCGGCACCGCAGTTGGGATCGCTACAATTAGATCAGCATAATTCATGAGGTATTAAAACAGACACAGCAAAGAGCACTCGAGATCTGCTTACCTGGCACCGCCACTGGCGCTGTTGAAGTACGAGCAAATATCGTGGGAAAAGCAATCTTGTGTGTAGACATTACCAACGGCAGTTCCAGTGCACCCAGCACCGCAGCGTCCATTGCAGGAGTAGCTTAGTTTGTCATTAGCAGTATTCAGATGCAAAGCATTACGAGAAAGACTCACTCTCCAGACCCAGCGAGGTTAGTGCCGTAGTTGCTTCCCACTACGCCGGTGAATGTGCATGACTTGCCAGCACTGTTGGTCCATTTTGCTGTTGCAGTCGCACCAACCTTCAAACATGTGATCGCTCTCTTATCAAGTTCGGGAGCTGAGGGGGCTGCCAGTGCCATTAGGGGGCACAAGGCCATGATGAGCGAAAGTTGAGGCAACATGATGGTGAGCTAAGAATGGGTTCACTAATTCCGTTAAGGCTGAAGAGTAACTGGAACGCACAACAAGTTCTAGAATCAAGATATTGACATATTGTAAGCTATATAACCAATTCCTCCCCATTCAGTCCGCGTATAGAGCAACTTAGATGAGAGCTTCAATTTCGCCGATTGATGTTGCGGTCAACTCCGAGGCAACGGAGCAATTCCACGTCGGGAAAGCGTGTCGTCTTGGAGTATATTGCTTTCCATACTTTCGACAGGGCCAATAACATTCTGTCGAATGAAATCTGGGGTTGATGCAATTGCGCCATCAGTCGTCATCGGCATTGGGCCACTAAGGGCAAGGTTCCGGAGAATTTCACGGAGAATCATGTTGAGCCTCGTCGGTGAAGGATGATGATCTCCCGCTCGGCCCGGTTCTTGAACTCTTGATGAAGATTAAAAAAGTCGTTGCTGCCTGCTTCATCTGGAGCAAAAGACAAGTCCATGATCCCACGAGTTCAAAGAACTGCCTCAATCTCGGGTCTAAGAAGCCCCACGACCCGTCTAGCCGAGACTTACTACCCCACCACGCCAGAACCGGTAGTCGCATTTCGATGAGCGTTGCTCAATGGTCTAAGGTATGCTGTATCTCTCGACAGCATGTTGAAATGGGCAAAAAGAAGACAAAGGCCTTCTTATGGGAATATTGCACCGTTTGCGAGATATTCAACCGCTGCGGCTCTTGAGTTCATAGAAATAGCACCGATTTCACCAAGGATGACCTACCAGACGCCCCTGCTATCATCTGAGGGGAGAACATCGTGAGTCTGCCGATGCCTCGATGACTAGACTGGATCCAGCTGTGGGCCGAACTTCTCAATTGCTTCGGAGGAAGTTCATACGAACCCTTGCGGAGGAAGAGTCTGGACTTATGGACTTCGACAGGACACCTTCAGCGCCAACTTTAAGATGCTACGGCGCAACAGTCTTCCACTCGGACCACCCCGGCCAACGGAGCGGCTCCTATGAGAACAAAAGACCTTCCTTACAGATGTACTGACTATTGGCTCACGCTTGATGTCTTGGAACTCCATGGCATTTGAAAGAGAGGATGAAAGCAATGACCTTTGCGTCGGTGTATGGTTCAACTACCCATAGTGGGTACTCGCTACTCAGCGCGGGATGCTTCTGCGAGAAGAAGCCAACAAAACCACCCCTCTATTGCACCCTTAACAGGATGGCCATCAAGGGTTCAGATGAGCCCGGATCATCCCATATTTCCTCGAGTCTTGTACCAATGGCCCCATTGAACAAACTTCTCTTCGCTCTTGGGAATCTCGCTGCCAATTGACCCATCAGAATGCTCAGGTCATGAGCTCAAGTGGACCAGTGTCACATCCGTCATTTGCTGATGTTTCCCGCAGTTCATCTCGTATCTACCCACCTGTCTTCGCGCATCATGGCATACCCGGCCGGTCAAGATGAGCCGAACGCAACCCTCGCCAAGCTGCTGGGACCAAGGACAAGACGAAGGATGCCCAAGCTCAACGGTCCAACGGAAGATTCTCTCTCAATACACTAACAGCTCGCCTTCACCGCACTCAGATGACATCAACGCCCAGCGGACATCTGCCCCCGAAAAGGCGTAATTTCCAGGCCGCGGGATAGAAGGATGCGACGGTACGCGAGCTAAAACCCCGCACGCCCATCGATCTTGGGTTAGTCTGAAGGTCTGAACTGGGGGAGGACTGGGGTTGTTATATGAAGTCTCCCAAGACTCGTGAAGCTTCCTGGAGCTTCCCCGCACCCACACAACTTTCAGTGATTCTCAACGGCGGAAATTTCTCCAGGATTTTTTGTTTCTCTCTCTCGTCCCCTGGCCCTGCAGCTTGGCACTCTGCTTAGCCCAGCCACCCCTCTCTTCCTCTCCTACAGTCCGCACCCATCTCGTGCCTTTGGAATGGCACCTTGGCCGATCATCTGCTTGAGCATCTCCCCCCCAAAAAAGTCTTTCTTGTGGTTCTTGGAAGGGTCTTGGCCTTGCGCGACTTCCAACGCTTCTCAATGGCCCGGCTTAGACGCTTCGGCTTTCGGGCCAATGTCAGCCGGCTCATCTCGGCCGGTTCCTTCATGAAGTCATGAAGATGGTATAAATACCTTGAGTCGCATTGTAATTCCGCAGTCTGGAGAATGGTAGAGAGACCGAGACCTTGAGACCGTTCTCGTCCCAGCACAAGTCCTCTCCTAACATGGCGCTCGCAAAACTCTTCTCGTCCGGCCTCTTATTCGCCTCCCTCGCCGCCGCCAAGTGGATTGTCCCCGGCGGCAGATGGCGTGACAACGAGGGGAATCTCGTCAACGCCCACGCCGGCGGTGTCACGCTCGACAAGGACACGGGCAAGTTCTTCTGGTTCGGCGAGTACAAGATCGAGGGCCAGGAGGAAGGCGGTGGTGTCTCCGTCTACAGCTCCGATGACCTCGCGACATGGGAGTTCCACGGAAAGGCGCTCGAGCCTATCGAGGGCCATCCGTACATCTCGACCAACATGATTATCCAACGCCCCAAGGTCGTCTACAGCGAGCCCACTAAAGAGTACCACGTAGGTTTTAACCTTGAATTCGAGACGAAATCTGGCTTCCAGCGCGACTAACTCGTTCCAGATGTGGTGGCACGCCGACAACTCGACGTACGGCCTCCTCCTCCAAGGCCTGGCCACCTCGCCCAATATCTCTGGCCCCTACACCTTTGTCGACGCCACCGCGCCCCTTGGCAACTGGTCTCAGGACTTTGGCATCTTCACCGACTACAAGGACGGCCGCTCCTACTCGCTGTACTCCAACGGCGACCGCCGCGAAGGCCGCGACGTCTACATTTCGGCCTTCAACGAAGACATCACAAACGTGACCGAGGTCGTCCACCGCTTCGACAAGTACGACCTCGAGGCCCCGACCATTATCCAGACCGATAAGAGCTACTACGCCCTCATGTCACACAAGACGGGCTACCGCCCCAACAACGTCGTCGCATTCCGCGCCGACTCCCTCGCCGGCCCCTGGTCCCAGCCCTTTTTCGTTTCTGACGCCTACACCCGAACGTACAACTCCCAGTCCGGCTTCTCCCTCAAAATCGAGGGCTCCGAGGTCACGACGTACCTCTACCTCGGCGACCAGTGGGACTCCAACTCCCTTTGGGAGAGCCGCTACATCTGGTTGCCCCTCGTCATCGACGACGAAAAGAAGTCGGTCCACGTAGAATGGCACGACGTCTACGACCTCGACGTCAAGACGGGCGTCGTCACCCCCATTGAAGGCACACCTTACTACGCCCACGACTCCGCCACCACGGCCGGCGCAGCCTTCAAGCAGGAAGCCACCTTTGCCAGCGGCGGCTCCATCGTGACGGGCATCTACGGCAACGACAGCACCGTTACCTTCACCGGCATTCAGGGCGCCGGCGAGCCGCAGTGGGTGTCGTTTTACTACCAGAACACGGACGACATGGGTTTCGGCGACCAGCCCGGCGGCAATCCCGACCGTATCGGCGGAAAGTGGCAGCTTCGTCGTGTAGCTTCTGTCGTGGTGAACGGCAACGAGCAGCAGGTTGAGACGCTTTTCCAGCGTGATAGCCACAAGGGCATTATCCTTTCCACGCCCTTGCAGTTGACTTTGGAGAAGAACGCGAACAACACTATCACTATTGGTGGGTTGTGGAACGGCTTTGACTTTAAGGGTGCTGATATCGACCGTATCGTGGTCTACCCTCCCGAGGGCGGCCCTGTCAAGTGCAAGAGGGGCATTGAGAACGTCGAGTAATGGCTTACTTGTAGTAATTAGAAGATATCAGTCTATTAGCGAGCGAGCTCGGATGAACGTATCGTCTTCTCCGTGATGTTTTGTAAATATCCGTGCCTTGTCTACCAGCTCCATGTGGTCCCCAGCCTGATCTCTCGTCAATCATGGTCTCATTACCCTAATGCAGAGTCATTCATTCGAGTGTGCCCTCTGCTGAAAACCAGACGCAAAAAGTGAGAGTCGTAGGTGCGGCAACAAAAGAACTGAACAAGTCATGGAAGCTGCAGGGTAAGTGATAGGAAATGAAAGTGATTGCATCCTACATGCCGCACTGAGGTATAACAACGTAAGCAAAGATTTAAATAGGCCCGTCAGCTCATGCTCCGAGAATGTTATCGCGTACACAATCTCGCCTGAAAAGCGTGGCTGGCCAGGCGATCGAGGGGCTCTCAAATGATTTCATGCAGGTAGGAGTCGTGAGAAGGCTAGCATATTGTAGACGATAAACAAGAACGCGGTCAATTCAACTATTGATTCACCAAACAAAACTAAAATGAAAGAGTATAAAGATGTATTAAGTGCTAAAAAGAGTCAAAAAAAAAAAGGAATAGAGGGGGAATACTGACCTTATAATTCACGCCCCTGCCCGGACTCGAACAGCGCGCCCCTCTGTCAACCCGAACTCTGACTTCATGGGAGTATTTGTTTTTATTTTAACCATTCGACCACCTCGCACACAGCTTGACCTGACCTCGCCGACCTAGACGGGCGCTGCTGTGCTGGTGACAGAATTAGACGTTGGGAGGGTATAAGTACCTACCTACCGTGGTAGGTAAGATAGGTACGTAGATGGCCTCACGTGAGGCAGCAGCGAGGCAGAGGGTGCCCGGTCAGGTGACGGTGGGCCTGTGATACGTAGAATTCTATTAGACGGGATGGAAGGAAGGTGACAGTCTGGGTCATACCTTCTTACCCTGTGAGTTCACTTTACCCTCAACAAGGTAATAGTCACGTGTCCTCAACGTCCATGATCTGATATCGTTGAAAGGATTATCATTCCCTCATTTTCGTCAACCGTCATTTACGTGGTTTTTGACTTAATTTCTTGTCAAAGACCTGATCAAGGAAACGAGGAGCCCAATGGACTAGGCCCCCTAACGATCCTTCAGCGCAGTGGGGTGAACCTACGTAGCAGAATAGAGGAAGTCAACATTCCGTTTGATACACAGACTATAGCATTAGAAGACACACAGGGAGGTAGTCTCCAATAATCAGGCCACAGAGGACATGGACGACGATGAATATCAAATGGACCACGGAAACACTTTGTGATTCTTCCAGAGACAATGGTTGACATCTATCTCTCATGCCTAGCAAGCAACTCATCAATCATCCGCTGCAACCATAGCCTCTCTACAACGCCAATAATCATGAAACGCCTACTCGTCTTTTTCTACTCTACGATGCGTGGACATCCGTCTTGGAGATGGCCTCTGTTACCGCCTCGATGGCCGGGTCAGCCTCGGCCTTCTTCTCGGTAGACTCCACCGACGCTCCAGCTCCGGCCGCCTTGGCCTTTTCCGCCTCCTTCTTGGCCTTCTTACGGGCCTTCTCGGCGTCCTTTGCCGCCTTCTTAGCAGCGGCCTTGGCCGCCGCCTCCTCCTTTTGCTTTCTGACTTCCTCGCCGCCAAAGGCGTCCTTCCACTCCTCAATCTTGGATGCCGCAATCTGGGTGAAGAGATGCTCGGGGGTTCCAAGCTTGTGACCGGGCTTGATGGCATCAGTGACCCAGGTGTCGGGGATGAACGGCTTGGGCTCAACGCCGAGCTGCTTGAGGATAGCAGTCGAGGTGTTGGGCAGGTAAGGAGCGACGAGAGAGGCCAAAAGGTCGATCTGGTTGAGCGCGAGACCGACAACGGCAGCGCAGCGGTCAGGCTCCTCAGTAAGAAGTCTGTTGTCGAGCTTGTTGTCCTGGAGCAGCTTGTTGCCGAGGCTATCGATATCATTAGCTCACGTCACGAAATAACGGGGGAGATAAATGGTTGGCATACGCAGAAATAGACATGATGGTCTGAAGACCAGCCCTCATCTTGGTGGCCTCCATATTGTTGATGTACTCCTTGAGCAGGGTGTTGACCTCGTCGATGTGCTTCTTCAGATAGTCATCAGTGTATTTGGTGTAGTCGGGAACCGCGCCTTCGGTCTTGGCCTGGCAGAACTTGTTGACTCTCTGGCAGAAGTTGCCGAGGTTCTTGAGGAGCTCGTTGTTGTTGCCGTCAACCATCTCCTGCCACATGAACTCAGAATCGGAAGTCTCGGGGCGGCGAGACAGCAAGTAGTATCTCCAGACATCGACGGGCACACCAGTCTGTTGTACCTGATTGCCAAAGACACCGACACCTCTCGACTTGCTGAACTTGCCACCCTCGTAGTTAAGATACTCGGTAGTGGAGATCTTGTGCAGTTTAGTCCAGTTCTCGCCGGTGCCGAGCTGAGATCCAGGGAAGATGATGGTATGGAATTGAACGTTGTCCTTGCCCATGAATTGGTACAGCTTCACGTCATCGGGGTTCTTCCACCACTGCTCCCAGTTCTTGCCTTCGAGGTTGTCGCCGTCGGTGTAGTTCTTGGTGATGGAGACGTATCCGATGCAGGCGTCGAACCAGACATAAAAGACCTTTCTTGCGTAGTCCTCTCCGACCTCGTGAGTCGGGATCGGGACACCCCACTTGAGATCTCTGGTGATACCACGGGGCTTGAGGCCCTTGTCGATCCAAGCTTGAGTAATCTGCTCCGCATTGTTGCTCCATGCGCCCTTCTTGCTAGATTCCTTGAACCACTTGACCAGATCGTCCTTGAGAGCGTCGAGTCTGAGGAACAAGTGCTTCGTCTTGCGCTTCTCCGGGGTAGCTCCGTCGAGCTTGCAACGGGGCTTGATCAAGAAGCCAGTGGGCTTGGCAGCAACATCGTCATCGGCAGAAGCGTTTGCTTCGGGTTCGGGCTCGAGAGGATCGAGAAGGTTACCGCACTTGTCACACTGATCGCCTCTAGCACCATCGTAGGCGCAGATAGAGCAGACACCCTCGACAAATCGATCAGCGAGGAAAGACTGGTGGGCCTCGACAGGGCAGAAAGGCTGGACGGTCTCGCGCTCCTCAATGTATCCGTTTTTCCACAGCTTGGTAAAGATGTCCTGGACAATCTCGGTCTGTTGGGCGGTCGGGGTTCGGCCAAAGATATCGAACGAGATGTCAAAGTAGTCGTAGATGCCCTTGTGGAGGGCATGGTACTTTGCGCACAGCTCGGATGGGGTTACGCCCTCCTCAAGGGCCTTGGTCTCGGTCGCAGTGCCATACTCGTCGGAGCCGCAGACTGTAGTAGAAAGGGTCAGCCGGGATTGGGCATTGGAAGACACTCAAGGGAGAGAGGTAGTCGCAACATACTGTAGATGGTGGGGTTTCCGCGAGCACGGGAGTACCGCGCAAAGACATCGGCAGACAGAACACTGCCAATGATGTTTCCGAGATGAGGAACGTTGTTGACGTAGGGCAGGGCGGAGGTAATTAGAACATTGTTCTTGCCCTTGACGGGCAGAATGGGATTCGGCGCCATGATGTGTTTGTTTGCTGTGTGTCGAGAGGAGAGGCGGAGAGGAGGAAGAGAGGAAAAGAAAGAATGGAAACTTGAGATGCCGACTTTCTCGGGGAAGGGAGTCAGGCGCGGTGTGCAATTGCGCCCACGGTGAGGTACGTCCCCCACTGCCCAGGGCAACTGCCACTGCCAACTGTGAGTCGCACCTACCTACCAGACTGACTCTGAAATGTTGCGCGAGCCTTGGACCCCGCACTATCCCCTTTTGGGATGAGGGGCACGGTCGAAAAGCTTGGGCCATTTCTCAATCGTAATCGCCGAGTTCTCATCCTCACTCACTCACTCACTCACTCATGTAAGGGACTCACTCACTAAGGCAACTCATTCAATATCTGGAATGAATTTGATCATGAGATGAGTTACATAAGGGTTGAGATGAAACGCGATGTTCTATTACGGCGTCAAGACTTAGCATATATTCGCGTTTTGAAATGCCATTGATATCAGCTTCGGCCATAATGCACACAAAGGCGTGATTACAATAGGGAGCGTTGGGCGCAATGAACAGACTTTGGGGCAGGTGGCTCAATATCCAAACATTGGTCATCAAGCCTCGACTTATGACTCCATTTGTCACCTCCGCAACCTTTGTTCGCTCAGACGGCACTGGACGTGTTTGTGCTCGGCTGGTCGCGGACAGTGTCACGCGAGCACACGGCTTACAGCCTAATCGAAAGCAGGAAGTATGTTTACCTTCCTATTCTCTCAAACTAAACATGCAGCCCAGGCACGATATTTGAAATTCATTTACGTGTCGCATTCGTTCTGGGAGCTCTTTTCGATTTCCAGTTTCATAAGACGATTGACGAACTATCAAGTGGTGTTCATGACAAAAATACCATCCCTTCAATGATTGAAATAACCAGAGATGCTGATAACAATCCAACCGTATTCGTCCGAACTAGGAGATCCCATCCCAATTGACTTCTACAATAAGAGACGACATGATGCAAAACATGGGAGCGAGTCCAACTTGGTCACTGCTTTTCGGCGAAACGCCTTTGGGGGTTTCTAGATGAAGTCCAATGCCCTGGTGATAAGTCATGAGACCAATACCTTTGGGTTGAGGCTCCGTAATATGCTCCCTGAGATAGGTTTATGAGATGCCTGAATCAACATCTGTATATGTAATCTCCCTTGTTTCCCGTAACTTTTGAACATGAAGATAGCACTTTTGCCTGATTCATCGCTATTCCCACATGAATCCAACAGAAAAACATTCCCTCCCGGATCGTCATAAGCAGATCAAGACAAAAGAAAAACTCCCATCATCATAATCCTTCATAGGGCGCCAAGTTCCACACATCAACAACACCACTATGCCTCCCAACAGCCATCATCTTCCCGTCCATCGAAAAGGCCGCCGCCGTCACTAGCCCATCAATCCCCACCGCGGTCGTCACTTCAGCCAGAACCTGTCCAGAGTACACATCCGAGATATCCATCCCCTCCTCTGTCCGACACGCCAGGAACCGACAATCCGGCGACACCGCCAGCGGCCACCCCTCGTTGTTCCGCACTTTGTTCATCTCCCAGCTCGATACCCGCCCAGCCTCGTGCTCCCACACATACACGGCCCTCGCCCACACCGACACAACCACCCTCCCATCCGGCGACGCCCCCAACGCCCGCGCCCCCGTCCCCGTCCCCGTCACAACCCCATCCACCTCCATCCGCCGTAGCGTCCTCCCCGTCTTGGCCTCCGATATCCTCACCGTCCCGTCCCTCGACAGCGTCACGAGGTCCGCACCGTTCGGCATGAAGAGAACATGCGTCGGCGCAGCATGGTTCATCACACCCGCCACCTTCTTCGTAGGTGGCATCCCCGGCGGACTCGTCGCCGCCTCAAACACAACAACAACGCCCAACGGATCCGCCGCCGCAAACTTCTTCCCGTCGGGGCTAAACGCCGCGGGATGCCCGACACCGTTCAACGCGCACCGCACCCCTCGCCCTTCCTCCCCGGCGCGGAGCTTCACCCGCCACTCCCGCTTCCATCCTGCATCCTTCTCCACCACCGCCGTCAGTTTTCCATCCGGGCTGAAGACGACCACAGGCGCGTCGCTGCTGATGTCAGACGGCACGAGGCGCGCGCCCACGGCGCCGGGCTTCTGGGGAAAGTCCCAGATCTTGGTGCTCGAGGGAAGCGCGGTGCCCGAGTTGTCTTGCGATGTGGCGACGTAGCCTTTTGGACTGATGGCGATGGAGGTGACGGTGCCGTTAAGGCAGATTGCGCGGCCGAGGTGCTTGAGGCGCAGAATTGATGGTGGGAGGGTGCCGTCGTGAAGGTTGAGGGATTGTATTGATCCCGAGACGGAGTGTGTCCTCACTGCATTCCGCTGCGCGCTGTAAATATGGTCAGTTATCTATGCATATCTTGAGTGATGTTGAAATGTTGCGGATCATGCGCGTAAATGTCAAGCAAAGAAAACGCACCCCCCGGCGACCGCCTCCTCATAGCTGGGCATCGAATCATCCGCCGGCGGGCCATTGCTGGCGTCCAGGTAAGCGCTCATGATGTCAATGTTTCTCTCTGTTTCCTTTCAACCCAAACACAGCAACATCCACTGCCGTCCGGCGGATTCCCCAGTGTAACGAATGAAGAGCTTTTGGGTAAAACAAACAATGTGGTTGATGGACGAAGTTGGATTGAAGACGCTAGACGTTTTCCCCAGATCAATCGATCAGATCAGTCATGTCACCTTGCCGAGACCCCGGTCTCCTCGGGCGGCTTGGGATGTCACCGCACACAGCCGCAATGGCTGAGCTCCTCAGACCCCTGTCGGTCATTGTCTCTCCCCGCGGAACCTTGTTTGTGTTGCCGATGACCGGCGATCGCACCGGTCGCGCCGGGCACACCGGGCTGTTTGGGTACACAGCAAAAGAAGATGAAAGGGAATAATTTGAAAATGCGCCCGGAAAATGAGCATTCGGAATGGCGGAACTCTTCCATTAGGTCGCATTCTGCCGCGACACTGACACATGATGAAGCAGGGACATTTGATAATTCACTGATGTGATGAGTGCGTCTTCCAAGATAGAGATCCAACTGATACGCAATTGTAGATGGTCATTAAATGGTATTCTTCTGCTTCGCTATTCAAATCGCACCCATGCAGTCCTTATGCCTACTGGCCAAATGCCTCCTCATAGTTGGTCAGGCAGTATCTGTAGCGGACACTGGAATCCTCAATGCCGTTCATCGCCGACCTTAAACCATCGGCGCTGATGGGAACCTCCTGCACCCATGTCTTGATGCCCTTGTCGGCAGCAAGCTGCAACATCTCCAGCGTCTCGCGTCTGCTACCCAAGTGGGAGCTGCCAATGAAGCAGCCGTTGGGGAGGAAGTCCTGGTTGCGAACAGTGATGCCACCACCACCGGGGAGACCGACAGACACCCACTTGCCGTGGACGTCGAGAAGGCTAAGGTAGGCAGAGAGGTCGAAGCCCTCGAATGAGTTGGCCGTGTTAAGAATGAGGTCGAAAGTCATCTTGTGGGGCTCGTTCCAACCCTTCTCGCCGCTCGCCAGGTAGCCATCGGCACCCATCTTCAAAGAGTCCGCCTCCTTGGATCGCGAACGGGAAATGGCCCAGACCTCAGCACCCAGAGCCTTGGCGAACATGACACCAAAGTGACCGATGCCGCCAATGCCGACAATGCCGACCTTCTTGCCAGGGCCACATCCGTTTCTGATCAGAGGGCTGTAAGCTGTCAGGCCAGCGCAGAGCATAGGAGCAGCGATGGTGCTGGGGAGGGCTTCGGGGATGGGGAAAACCCTGTGACTTGATTAGCATGCATCTCATTTCGAGAGTAGCAAACACACGTACCAGTGCTCGTGTGTGCGGACGTGGGAGGAGTATCCGCCCTGGGAGATGGCGCCGGAGTCGGGGAATGTAGAGCCGTAGGTGTCGAGCTGGTGCTTGCAGTATGTCTCGTTGTCGTTCTTGCACTGACGGCACTCGAGGCAGGCGTAGGATTGAGCTCCAACACCAACGCGCGAGCCCTCCTTGATCTTGGTGACCTTGGAGCCGACTCTCAAAGCCTTTCCGACGATTTCTAGACATAGCGGAGTTAGCCAGCAGGTCACAACTACGCAGTAGACACATGGACTCACCGTGACCAACCGCCAGAGGATAGGGCTGAGCACCCCAGTCACCCTTGATGGTGTGAACATCACTGGCACAAACACCGCAGCACTCAATCTTAATATCGACGTCGTAGTCACCAAACGGCTTGGGGTCAAACTCCTGCTTCTTGAAGTCTTGCCAGGTCTCGGCACTGTTGACCTGGAAGCCGGTGAACTTCTCGGGAATCGACATGATGGGTAGTTGAGTGTGAGTGAAGAGCTGTCTTGTAGATTCGTCTGGCTACTCTCGAGATACGACCTTGATTTGATTACGGGAAGTGTTCGGATGGCACGAGAGAAGAGGAAGAGAAGGAGGAAGAGGAGAAAGGTTCGGACGCTGCTCACAACGGGCAGAGGGAACCGCGCCGGATGAAATACCCTGACCATTTTCAGAGCTTCTCCCGAAACCCCCCACCATCTCGTTTGTCGCGGCGCTGCGCGTGGAGCGTAGGACATCCATCCTTGAGTGAGGGGCACCTCCCAGCTCGGTCGAGGAGGGGCTTATGTCGCGCCGCAATGTCTGCCCATGGGAGTTAGATGGGGGCAGGACCCTTGCTCGAGGCTAGGCGCCTGTTGGAAGCAAATGATGGCCCTCTCATTCGATTCTTCCACAATCTTGCGCCATTGACTTCCTTCCCTCATCCGTCCGTCCGTCGCAGATGGCTGTGTTCGTAAAGGGACTGCATAAGAAAGAACATGTTTCTCGAAATCGAATCCGTTATTGTCGTGATTGCCGTTCAATCATCTCTGCTGTAAGCCTGTCGAGCTCGCATCCTTCTTCGTCACTTTCTTACACTCACCCGCCCTCCATTCATCGTGTCGCGCTGCCCCGCGATGATACCCCACCGTTGCCCGCCAATTGCACCCCAAAACCCACTCGATTTGAGGTGGCTCCTCCGGGAGTTGGGGAAGGAAAATTGTCCGGAGGATTTTCCGAGACCGGCTGCCGAAAATCCCACCATACAGAGGGAAGAGATCCCCTCTTCGACGTTTGATGGCGGATGGGAACTCCACGATCACAGATAACATCGGGCTTGGCCTGGACCAAAAATTCTTCGTCGAGGGGCCAACCTCGCTGCACTGGATGTCTGAACTCCCTTCTTCGCTGTATCTCGGCAAATGTCTCCGAGTGCATGTGTGCCGTGCAAATGTCCCTAGCCAACCATCCAGTCCGGTCATGCGTACTGGTTCGATGCTTTCATCGCGCTGTATCTAATCGAGGTATGCGTAACGCCGTCAGGGTGAGTGACCAGTCCAATATGTCGGTACTGGCTCGGGGTTGTCCCAGCCTTCGCTTGGACTGTCTCTTCCGTTCGCCATTATTTCCTCTTCCCCCCTTGCCAACGGCGCCTTTTCCTCAGTTCGTCTCCCAGAACTCTCACTTTCGGTCGCGGTTCTGTGCGGACCGAATATCGGCGACTCGGGCTCGGTGCAATGATCGGGCGGTTGTCCGGCGCGTAAGCGACATCCCGGCCGGGTAGGCTATTTGAGCTTGGCGAACTCCCCCATGCTCTACTGTTGCTTTCTTGCAGGTGCCGGTCGCCCGCTTAATCCGACGCCGACCAGAAATGCGACCCTCATCGAGGCACCAAAGTATACGAACGGGACATTTCCCCAGTCGATGGCGTTCCACTTGGCGAAGTTGTAGTACACCTCTGGCCCTAAGCTTCGAACTGTGTACAAGTGTCCAAAGTCGGCTACAAGGAGCACGAACAGGACGGTCTTCCAGACGCGCAGGTCTGATGTGGCGCGAAGAACGAGGGCTTCATTGAGAGCAAAGAGCAGGTATAGGTTGGCGAGCTGGGAGAGGACGATCGAGGTTCCTTGGGGAATGACTTCGGGTTTTGAGACGGCGTGAGTGAGCTGGAGATAGTCGTCGGGTCGCACGTGTGCGTAATAGGCACCGACAAGAGCAGAGATGGGCTCGATGCCTAGGAAGAAGACGCGGTAGAAGAGCGGAATGACGAGGCCTATTCTGCCGAATTGGGCAGGTTTGGGCGGCATCTTTGCAGCTTCTTGAGAGTGATATGTCGTCGACGAGAGAACAAGAAGGTCAACTTCTCGTCAGGAATTATGGAGAGTGAAGCTTGAAGAATTGAGAGGGGACGTCAGGGCGGTTTCGTCTCATCACTGGAGATTCTGGCGTGACGGGCACCCTGATGGACTGGGCCTCTCGTCATCGGCAGGAGCAAGGAAAAACTTGAGCTCCGGTTGACCGGGGCTCGACGCGCCGGAGCCGAAGGTAAGGGTAAATGGCCCGTGCCCCAAACGCAATTCAGATGGGAATTTGCGATCTCATGATGCTACATTGCTGCTTCAAGGTCGACGGTCACAGGTCACCGTAGAAGCTTATCATACCGCCCATCATTGGGACGATTATCTTCTAAGGATCTATCTTATAGCTCAACGCGCTGTATTTAAGTTGTGACTTGGTCCAGGAAGCTCACGATCTAACATGAAAGGTAGCTCACCTTCATGTCGAGAGAATCTGGGGAAGCGAAAAGTCACAAAATCATCCCTGACGAGGAGGATATGGCTGTGATTTACTCTCATTTCCGAAACTTAATCATTGAGATGAAGAGTTTCCCAGGCGCTCGCTTATCCGCGCCGTCTTTGTGTTTTAGACGCATCTGACAATGCAGCGCTCGGCCAAGGGAGCCCACCGCCATGGTAGAGGTGAGTGAGACCTTCATGGCAATACTCGGGTACTCTACTAGGCACATAGTGGCAGAGGAACAATAGGAGCAGGCGGTAAGGCACCGGTGAGATGTGACGGTGGATGGACGGAACGTTGCCCTTCATTCGTCGGCTGCATAAGAGTGTGACAGCCAATTTCCGATTGTAAAGGTCTCAGAGCCTGGTTGCCACAATGCCAACGACGTCCGCCATGCTGGGTCAAAGGATGAGTCGTCTCTGGACTGGAATGGGTAAGGGCGATTGCCGAAGCTGATGTTTGACTATCTGTACGGATATAATCCTCTGGATTATCGTCGTCTTGCGACCTCGAAGAGGCACACACAAATGGATGCCGCTGTCTCTGACACCAGGTTAAACACAAAGAACTGTTGACCAGACCGGAGTTTGCAAGAGAGGAAACATCGGAAATTGACTTTGGATCTCCGCTTACAGGGTTGCAGGCGGCCTAGCCTGAAGGATGCGATGCGGGAAGGGTGGGATTTCCAGGGTATTTGCATTCAGGGACCGAGACCCCGGGAAGTTGGACACTGTCGAGGCAGATGCTGCGACCTGCCTGCAAGTGGGAATTCAATGATACCAGCTGGCTGCCCACGGTACTAAGTTTTGTAGATGGGAATGGGATTTCGGGATGGGAGAAGATGGAGGGTAGCGAGAATTGGTATCGAGACCTGGCAAAATTCTCTTTCACCAGAAGTATCGAATACGTCTCTAGTCACCGGGATAGAGACAAGTTTCGCAGTTCAGTAGCTCGAAAATCCGAAACACCAAGTACCGATACCTTTGCCCCCTTCTGCTATTTGACAGCCCTGGTACCGTAGGTACCTCCGTAGGTACTTCCGCCACGGCGCCCGCGAGGCCTGCCACGCTGCAATTTCATTGTGGTTGCAGCCAACCTCGCGAGACGAGGCGGCGGTTCGGGATTTCGAGAATGGCTTGCCCATTCGGAATGTAAACATTGCGACGCTGTGTGATGAATGTCAACAGCAACAACGGCGCATGTTGATGCGGTAGAGTCGGTATTCTTGTCCTGGCACACTGACTTCAAGTATCGCGGTCACTCCTCTATCATCCCATGCCCACATGATGTTGAATTGTCACGGGATACCTTCTTCTGCTGTGCTTCCTCTTTGTCCACTGGGATCAACTCCCACTGTTTGATCATTTGAACACCTACGACTTACCTACCAGAGCATACAAAACCATCCGGATCGCACAAAGACGACTCGGTTCCCCGGGCTACCCCGTGCAATCTGCAACAGGCGTGGCGCACGTCCAACTACTTCTCGCCAGCACTAGTACCTTCACAGCAAGTTGAGAAGTCTGACAGTGGTAAGCACATACCTATCGGCCAGGCCGTCTTTCATCCTTTCTCGTTCCTGTGGGTGTGTGTACCTACGAATACTTGCCGGCTCCTGGTTTCCATCTCTTCTTCTACGCGCCGTTCTCGCACCTGTCAGCGCCAATCTGGCGATCTCGCTTCCGTTGTTGTTCTTTTCAACGGCCGTCAACTCGTTCCGTATTGACCTCTGGCATCGCTGCTTCTTCCCGGTACACAGATCTGAGAAACAGTAAAGTACCTAACTGAGGGAGTGTGATACCTAAGTAGGTGAATCTCGCAGAGGCGGCTTTCCCGTTCCCCAAGACCCAAGAAATACCTGGATACAAGTACGTACCGCACTCGGTACCGGAGGGGAAGGACCGGGACTTTTCTTTGCCCTTCCCATCGCCGGCTTGAGATTTACATCAACATTACTCGAAACCGTCGCCCAACAACCACAAAAGACTAGTCGCCGCCAGTCATCACACAAACCCGAGGCTCGCACTTGGCTGGAGATCTGCACTGTCGCCCTTTTTTTTCTTTCTTCTTCTCTTCCCTTTCTTTGTTGACTCGCGCTCCCACACCCGGGCACACACCAGGACACGCCAGGGCACCACGGCACCCACAGCTCGACGGGCAGATGCTCACTTGCTCATTAGGCACCGCACGAATACCTACCTGACCCTTCTGCCCAACTGCTCCAAGGTCATCGGACCTGTCTGCCAACTTCGACCTCCTTCATTCATCTCTGTCTTCGTGTTACCGTCACCGTCCTCACCCTCATCTTTCACCTCTATCCGTACTTCGACGAGAAACCTAGCACGGAAAGACTCGCTGGGTGGCGGCGCGTTCTGCCCGGTAGTGTGTCCACCACCCTATTTCCCGCAGACGAATCCAGACCCGATCCGGTAACCCCAGGAAGCCGATCCCTCTTCCCACCACCCAAGGAGGACGGACCCTTGAAAATCCATAGAGAGAAGAAGGGCCAGCCGGGGGGACGAACACCCTTCGACCCTGACATTTCGACGCCCCTAGGCCTGAATAGGTCGTCTCCAGCAACCCCCAAACAAACCGTCCCCAGGACCCTCACCAACTCTTCCTGTCGCGGCTTGCTCGCCCTGCCTTTCAGTCCCCAAAGAGCCCCAGGGGCCACCGGCCGACTTCCGTGGTTCAGCTTT